TACCCACCATAACCCCAACCCCTTCCCCACCTACATCATCTTCTCGAATAGAATCACAAACCCACACATACTACTACTCAAATCTAAGTTTAGATTATTCATAAATTAATTACTTTCCATTTATCTTCTTCTTTACAATAGCACGGGCCTTCACATTGTCTTCTTTTAATTTTATTATATCATTATATTATAAGTTTAATGGGTTCAAATTCAATTTTTTTTGTTCGTAGCATCATGAAATTTATTTCTCCATAAAGGGAGTTTAAGTTTTGGAAGATGATGGCTGAATGAGGAAGAAGATGGAAAAAATAAAATAAATTAAACGATCAAATCAGCATTTCATGCGCTGATAATGAGTGTATTACACTCACTATGACATGTCAGCAAAAAATGTCAAAATGACATAGCGGGATATAACATGAGATGGCTAAAATGAACAAAACGTAGTTGAGGTGTCTAAGTTGAAAATTGGTGCCAAGTTAAGGGGGCCACCAATGGGTTCTACCTATAAAAAATAAATCCTAGAAAAGGTAGGAAAAGAAAGACTAAAGAAATATGGTCTTGAGCAGTGTCCCCTATGGCTGGTCGAAGGAATGAGGACTTGTAGGTGCCTTCGTCGTTCAACATTTTGTCAATATTCTAGTGGGACCATCGACGGGCATGACCCACGTCCAGAAGTCTAAGCCTGACCCATCATATTCAACCGTCGTTCATGGACTAGATCTCATCCTTCCTGAAGTTATCTACCACTCCTCATGTACGGCTCGTAGTGAAGACTACGGCTCATCGATTGCTTCAGTCACTCAACATATAATTCCATTTATTCACACTTCATCCATGCATTCCACCTATGACTTGTCGAAGGAATGATGGCTTGTAGGTGGGTTCGTCTGTCACCAAAAATCCTATTGCTTGAACACTTTGAATACCAACAACTTCAAAACTTATTCCTGCAAAATTAAACCAAAATACCATCACATCTGATAACAAAATGCTTAAGACGCACGAAAAAATCTAAGTTTAATTCATTAGAAATATCGTAAGTTCACATTGAATCAACACCCTCAACTTAAAATTGTTGCTTGTCCTCAAGTGACGCAACATACTCTAAATGATACTTGTGCAGAAGTAACCCACAAACTTGCACAATCACGTGGCATTTTCTAAACAATCACCCTCCTTACTTATTTTTAGTATAGTGCAAATATTTTCTTTGAAAATCAACAAGCTAATTCATTCGGATCAATACATGGCATAGGCATACCAATAGACACAGTCACATGCACATACAACAATCACCAAGATACCAGCTTTTTAATAATATTACTTGTTCCCTTACTGTAAAGAATTCCCTTTTTCACACACAATTTGAGTTTTTTTTATTTAAGGACCCAGTATACACACTTAGAAGTGAATTCAAATACAATTTGTGCTTAATACCATAGGCTTGCCCTTATTTTCTACACTTTGACTTTCCAACCCGTTTACTTAGGATCACTATAGAACTTTCTTAGACTCTAACATACGTTCACGGTCAGGTGTAGTATATTTGGATGTTAAGTGACTTTTCTGCCCTCCTTGACATTACATTAGCTATTTGATAAGACCAGGATTTGGACTCATTTATGGCTTTGTTTTGATGAATTTAGTGTCCCCAAATGTTTAATTTATGCTATGAAATGATGTGTAAACCTTGATTCTTAGGTATCTGGATAGAGGAGCAAGGACACTAACAGACAAAGAGGAACAAAACAAGCTAAAGAAAAGGAGAAAGTAAGCCTGACAATCGCCAAGCACACTCGGCGAATCGCCGAGATGCCCCTAGACCGCATAATTTTACAGTACATTGTGCCTGAAATGAGAGAAATTTTGGCGAATTGTGTTCTATATCGGCGAAGCGCCGAATTGATCGGCAAATCAGGTTTGTATCGCCGAACGCACTGAACGAGACAAATACAAAATTGAATTGGCGAGCCAAAGGGCTAAAGGGTGGATTGCGAAAGTGATTGGTGATCCCAATCTAGGCCACCTAAAGTTACAGTGCATGATGGATGAAAACATGAAGAAAGAAGCCGATGGACAAGGACGATCAGCGAAGCCCGACGTACCTCGCTAATCAACCCCAAAAAGCCACATATCAGATCAGTATAAAGAGATTTTTTGAAGGGAGAGACGGCAGCCAAACAAGGACGATTGGCGAGTCGCCGAATGGTCAGTGAAGCCTGACTTTTCTTGCCAATCACCCCCAAAAATCCACATCTCAGATTAGTATAAATTGATTTTTGGAAGGGAGAGAAGGCATTCAGTCATTTCTTGGAATGAAATAGAGAGAACAAAAACACTATTCTTGTTGATTTTAAGCAATTTTGGCAAGAGATTTCAATTGGATATTGTAATAGAAAATATATTATTCATCTTAGAACTTTGATTTTCAATACCCAGCTATGCAGCATGTATTAGGTACTGAATTTCTTTCTTTAATGATGATTAACTAAAACCCCAATCTTGGGGGTTTGACAATGTAATTAATTGCTGAATTTGGCTTGATGGATGCTAGTTATTATCAATTTTAGTGCTAATTCGAAGTGGTTCTGACTTATCATTGTGGTTTAACTACTCTATTGTATGTTTACTTAAATATAATTTACTATTTTATGCTTTCTTGAGAAATAAGTGTAAAGCTAAAGAGATAAGTTTTCACTCCTAATTAGTGGGTCATAATGGATTCAGCTCGAGACAGTCAATCCCAAGACTAATTCTATGTATCCAGCTCGAGAGAGTGGATGTAATGAAGTTGTGGGCTGGTCTTCATGTTTAGCACATTGAGGTTTGATAGAACTCAATTTAAATGAGGTAGTTATTCGAGAGAAAAGTAACTCATCTACAGTTCACCTTTACCCGTGAAGAGTTAGTAGTTTTGGTTAGCAACTTGGACCCATTAGGCTGAGTTTAACAATTGGTTAGTCAATCCCCCAAGTATTTTTCTCCTATTTGATTACTCTTAGTTAATTGTTGAGGGTGGTTTATGATCTAAAAACCCCTTACCCTGACATTGTTGTTATCCTTCAAATTTTATTAATAGTTTCCGACAATCTCTATTCCTTCAGCTACAAAAAATCACTATTGTAACTTCATATTTGAATTCAAAATAGAACTACTCTCTGTGGGATCGACCCCAACTTTTTTGTTGGGTATATACTACTTAACGATCGTCTACACCTAGTATCGGATGAGGTGTAGTTGATACGTTAATCAAAATAGTGCCTCTTCCGGGGAATGGTGTTTTTTAGAATTCTCCTATCGAAGTTTTTATCTGTGATTTTGTTGGCTGTAGTTGAATCGATTTGATTTGTTTTGTGTTTGTGTTGGTTGTGTTGAACAAAATAGGAAATGAGTGACACAGAGATTAACGGTAGCCAAGAGGGACACCAAGGTGATATTGATGATCTTAATAGTGTGCATAATCCAATCTAATTGGGTGGAAGTGGTGTAATGTGTCAACCGTAGAGAATGATATATTCCATGTTACTAGTACAACTCTCAGTCTCCTTCAAATGAAGGGACTCTATGGAGGGTTGATGCACGAAGACCGACATGAGTATATAGAATTTCATAGATGTTTGTGGTCCGTTCCCATTCAAGAATGTATCACAAGAATCAAGCAAATGGCTGGCTAAGTTAACGAAAAATTCCATCACATCGTTGGATGAGCTTACCATGTCATTCAATGTGCGATTCTTTCCCCGTCAAGGATGATGAAACTCAGAGACAACATTCAAGGTTTCAAGCGATTGGAAGGTGAACCCATCCACTAAACGTGGTTGAGGTTTAAGAAACTACTGCTTTAATGTCCGACTCACGGACTTCCAAACAATGTGTTGCTACAATACTTCTATCAAAGTCTTGATTCGGTAAATAAAGGAGTAGCTAATAAATTGGTTCGATGTGGAATAATGTTGCAATCATTTGTGGTGGCTACATTCTTCTTGATGATATGACGAAAATAAATCAATCATGGTACACTCTAGAAGATCAAGTTTCACCTTTTTGCTTTAGGATGACTCAAGAACAGCTTGATAAAGAAAGAGAAAGGGACGATAACATCAACAAAATGTTATCCCCAATAGAGCTGCTACAAAAACAAGTACGAGAAAATTTGGACAAACCCAAATGAGACAGGGGAGTGTTTAGAGTTGAGGAGGGTTCTTCCTTGAGCTACTTAAGGTCGGGGGAGAATAAGGGTAGGAAATTTCACAGAGTTAAGGAGGGGTTTCCACCCACACTACTTGTAGCGGGGTGGGAATCAAGGTTGGAACTCTAACAAAGAAGAAGAGTGGAGAAGATACTACTAAGAATGTGCCGAACAAAGTGACAATTGGAAAATAGAAGATGATCATGAAGAGGATCACACACAATCGAGTGACAGCCCAAAGTCAAAGGGTAGTGCAAGTAGTCTCCGAGTGGATGATTTGTTGTCTCGCATCCTTGACAAAGTTGAGGGCTGAAATGACTTGTTAAAGGGGATGAAAGCCGACTTCTCATCATTAAACAATCGAGTGAACTATCACACTGATGCATCTAGATACTTGAAGGCCAATTGAGTCAACTTTCAGCACAATTGGGACAAAAATAATGGGGGAAGGCGAAACTGTGCACATAATAACTTTGATGGATGATGTTGATAGAAATCTGGTTGTGGTTACTTGAAGTGGGAAGGTAGTTGTAGGTGATATGAAGAGTAATGATGAAGCACAAACTCATAAAGAAGAAAAAGGTATTGAGGAAGAAGAGATCCCCATCCAACAAAGCTTAGCCAAAGAGTTACAAAAAGATGTAGAGGAAAGCACCTCAGTCCCAAAATTGGTACAACTTCTCCCCAAAATAACTCCTCCATTTACCCAACGCCTCAAGAAGAAAAATGAGGATGAGAAGTTTAAAAATTTATTATCGGTGTTCAAGACATATCGATTAATCTTTCACTAGTGGAAGAATTATTAGAGATGTCGGGTTATGCCAAGTTCATGAAAGAGTTAGTCACAATGAAAAGAAGCTTGGACTTCGGAAGAATTGAAGGCTCTCATAGTTGTAGTGAGATTAAGACTAATGAGATGATTAAAAAGAAAAAAGATCCCGAAGCCTTCACTATTCCTTGCACTATCGGTATGCTCCAATTTACCAAAGCTCTATGTGATTTAAGGGCAAGTATAAATCTAATGTCGTACGCAATCTATAAGAAACTTGGGTTGGGTGAACCAAAATCCACAACAATGAGGATTCTAATTGTAGACCGATCGATCAAGCACCCCATGAGTATACTCCCTGATATCTTGGTAAAGGTGAAATGTTTTATCTTTCCAACTGATTTTGTCATCCTTGATTGCGAGATTGATGCTGAAATTCCCATAATTTTAGGAAGACCATTTTTAGCAACCAGGAGAGCGTTAGTAGATGTTGAAAGCGGAGAATTGAAATTTCGGGTGAACAAATATGAAGTCACTTTTAATGTGTGTAAGTCAATGAAACACCCAAGCGATATTCACGTGGTTTCGACTATTGATAAAACTGATGAAGCAGTGGCTAGTGTGAGCCATTTGATGTGTATGAGTGAGCCACTTGAGGTTATGATTGCAAACTATGATCAGTTCGAAATCCAAGGTTACGATGAGGTTGTAGCTACTCTTTCGAGTTTGAGGGAATGTGCAAGGAATCCATTAAAGCTAGATATTGATCTAAAAAATTGCGAAAATCCTCCCACCAAGCCATCAACGGAGGAACCATCAAAGCTTGAGTTGAAAGTTCTCCCCGCTCATCTTCGATATGCATTCTTGCGGGCAAATAATACCTTACCCATATTCATTGCAACTGACTTGCTTGAATGGTAAGTAAAGTTGCTCCTTGAAGTGTTGAGAAGATACATCAAAGCTATTGGATGGACTATCGCTGACATCGTGGGCATTCCACTCGGTATTTGCACTCACAAAATTCAACTTGATAGAGAATGTAAACCGAGTGTCGAACATCAAAGAATATTAAACCCACCAATGCAAGAGGTGGTCAAAAATGAGATAATAAAGTGGTTGGATGCAGGTCTGATTTACCCGATTGCGGATAGCAAATGGGTGAGTCAGGTACAATGTGTACCAAAAAAGGGAGGCATCACAGTAGTCCCAAATGAAAATGGGGAGCTTGTTTCTATGAGACCGGTAACCGGATGAAGAGTATGCATGGATTACCAGAAGTTAAACTCTTTGACCGAAAAAGATCAGTTTCCCATGCCTTTTATGGATCAGATGCTTGATTGGCTTTCAGAGAGAGGATGATATTGCTTTTTGGATGGGTATTCTGGATATAATTAAATCTCTATTGCTTTGAAAGACCAAGAGAAAACCACTTTAACTTGTCCATATGGAACTTTTACTTTCAAAAGAATGTCGTTCGGGTTGTGTAATGATCCTGCAACGTTTCAACGTTGTATGCTATCTATTTTTGCTGATATGGTAGAAGATTCAATGGAAGTCTTTATGGATGACTTCTTAGTTGTGGGTGATACTTTTGAAGCATGTTTGGCACACTTGGGGCAGGTCCTTCAAAGATCTGTGGAAACAAATTTGGTCCTAAATTGGGAGAAATGCCACTCATGGTTAGGGAAGGTATAGTTCTTGGTCACAAAGTATCACAAAAAGGGCTGGAAGTTGATCAAGCAAAGATCCAAGTAATTGAGAAGCTACCACCACCAATCTCGGTGAAAGGTATTCGTAGTTTCCTAGGGCATGCGGGTTTTTAACAGAGGTTCATCAAAGACTTTTCAGAAATTGCAAACCCTTTGTGCAAGCTTTTGGATAAGGAGGTAAAATTCAACTTTGATGATGCATGTAAGGTAGCCTTTAGGTGCTTGAAAGAGATATTGATCTCCACCCCAGTTATCATTAGTCTGGATTGGTCGGCACCCTCCGAAGTGATGTGTGATGCAAGTGGTATGACATTAGGTTTCGTGTTGGGGCAAAATGCAACAAGCTATTACATCCCATTTACTACGCAAGCAAAACCATGAATGGTGCTCAGTGTAACTATACAGTTACAAAGCAAGAATTGCTTGCGGTGGTATATGCCTTTAAGAAATTTTGGGCATACTTGCTAGGCACCAAAGTGGTTATTCACACTGATCACGCAGCTTTGCGTTATTTGATGGAAAATAAAGATGCCAAGCCAAGATTGATAAGGTTGGTGCTATTGTTGCAAGAGCTTGTCTTTGAAGTCAAAGACATAAGAGGTTGTGAAAATAAGGTGGCTAAACATCTATCCAGGGTAGAAGGCAAGGAGAATAACGAGCTGGAGGTAAAGATAACTGACTCCTTTCTTAATGAACAGGTATTCACGGTCACTCTAACACAAACTCCTTGGTATGCTGATCTTGCTAACTATGTAATGTGTGGATTGATACCGGAAGAACTGGACTTTTATCAACAAAAGAGGTTCATGTTCGATATCAAGAAATAATTTTGGGATAAACCATACTTATATAGAGAATGTGTAGATCATATCATTAGGAGATGTGTGCCTGAAGAGGACTTCAATGAAATTCTCCATACTTGTCATGATTCACCAGTTTGTGGTCATCATAGCGGTGCGCGTACAATCGCTAAAATTCTTCAAAGTGGTTACTACTGGTCATCCCTTTACAAAGATGCTCATGAATTTGTTAAGAAATGCATACAATGTCAAAAACAAGGTGGAGTGTTGATGCTTATCGTGACCTACGACACTAAACTACCATATGAGTGTCTACGATCATCGATAGTATAGTAACCCAACTAAAAGTTGGGGTCGTGTCCCAAGGGAGTTGTTTTGAGAATTGATAGAAAAATAAAATTTAGCTCTAACTAGTCGTAGCTAAAGATATTAACAAGTAAAAACATAGTAAATAAAAGGGGGTGACACAAAAGTGTCAAATAACGATTTGGGGGTTTGTCACAATTAGTAAAAATAGCAAAAATTAACAAGAAAATCAAGTTTGGGGAAATGTTCTTGCAGTGTGACCGCAATACAAGTTGAGATAAATAGTTGGGTACATGTTTTTGATAAGAAACTTGTAAGATAATATTGATTAGGCTAAGCTATAAATGGAAATAAGTTCCCTCTCGAGGAACTTACCCCGTTTCAAATGTGTTTCTCTCGGACACCCATTTGCCACATGAAGACCAGCCTACGCCTTACCCCACTCACTCACTCGAGCTGAGTGTTAGGATGTGGGACTAGGGTTCACCCTCTAGGGCTGAACCTCATGTCGAACCACTCATAAATGGAAATAAGTTCCCTCTCGGGGAACTTACCCCGTTTCAAATGTGTTTCTCTCGGACAGCCATTTGCCACATGAAGACCAGCCTACGCCTTACCCCACTCACTCACTCGAGCTGAGTGTTAGGATATAGGACTAGGGTTCACCCTCTAGGGTTGAACCTCATGTCGAACCACTCATTAGGCCATCAGTCTAGTAGTCTTGGTTTCGCGACCTCGCTCTCAACCGAGCCGAAGACACATGAGTGGCTTTGTATTTGCAACTACAAACCCTTTAGATTAAACCACAACCACTAGGTGAAATTACCATTAAACTACATCTAACCTATCAGCAAGCAAGACCCAACAATAATATCAAACTCATATTTGCTAAATCACACCCCAAGAATGGGGGTTTTTAGCCACACATCAAGAAATAACAAAATACACCTAAAATGATAGTAAAATCAGATGGGTATAAGAAATTAAACCTTAAGTTAAGCAAAGGAAGAAGGATAGGGAAGACCCACTTCCAACTTGGAGAAGATGAACTCCTTTCTTCAAGTTCCCAAAAACCCTCTCCAAACTTGAGAGAAAATATCTAAAAAGTACTATTCTATTCTGGAAATTAAAATAAAAGTTTGACACTTAAAAATAATAATAATTTCAGTATTTATAGACTTCAGAAAATTGCGATGGCGGATCTTTCAGCGAAGTTAGTCGATGTTGCAGAATGACTTCGGCAACTAGCCCTTCGTTTGTCTCATCGCTGTTTTGTGCTTGCCTTCAGTACCTTCACGTTCTAGACCATTGGGCGGTATAGTACTGCTTTGCAGAACTATTCGGTGAAGCGCCGACTGCTTCTTTCATCGCATTTTTTATCCTTCTCCTTCGGGGCTTCGCTTACTAGAACAAAGGGCGGAGTAATCCCTTCGGCGAATCACCAAGTGTGCTTGGCGATGCTCGAGTTTCAGCTTCGTCGTTCTTTTCAGCCTTTTTGTTCCTTTTTCCGCCTAAGTGTCCATGTTTTCAGTAAAACTTCAAATACCTGAAACTTAAGAGTTTTCATCAGATATTTAGACAAAATAAGCATTCGAGGACACTATTCTTATCAAAATAAAGCCCTAAATTAGTCCAATTTATGGATTCATCAACACCCCCAACTTAAACTTTTGCTTGTCCTCAAGCAAACTTAAGTTCAGCCGTTCAAAAAGGGTGTCTCAAGCAGTGCTACACAAGACTCAATAATGAACATACACAACAAGATTCAAATTACTTATGCATAGATCAACTGTGTACTCAAAGATTCAAGTTGTGACACACCATTACCAGAGATTCTCGTGCTCGCAATACTTGCTACTTGTGCAAGTTCAGGCTCGACAAAAAGTATCTAAATGCCCTCACATGAAGAATGATTTCATATTCACACACAGAGGTTAATCAATTCAGGATCAGGAATCAGATGCAATGCTCACACTGAAAAAGAGGAACACAATGCATGTTGTTACCCATAGGTTTGCCCTTATTTTCCAATCGACTTTTGATTCGGCTTACTCAAGATCAAAAAGGTCTTTCTAAGGCTTGTAATGGGGATAAGTGCAAAGGTATGGTCATTTAGGCACCTTTTTGGATTTCTTGGAAACCCAATTTCCTTCGTACCTTATTTTTTTATTTTTTTATTTTTATTTTATTTTATTTTATTTTATTTTATTCTTTTGAATTGAAGGGGTTTCCTTTTCACCACACCCCCAACTTAGGATTTTGGCCTAAGTTTCTTATTCACTAAACCACAAATTAAGAGGATTATAGGTAGTGGGTCAAGTGAGGTCTAGGGTTCATCAAGGTTCTTCTAAAGAAAGGTAAGGCTCAAAGGGTGTTCAAAAAGAGCTTCAAACACTCACGGGTAGGCCACAAAAGAGGTATATGTCAAATTTGGCTCACACTCTTTAAAGTTGCCTAAGATCATATCAAGAGGACACCTTTCTAAATCAATCAGACTAACAGGGAAAATTCTAGGTTTATTCATGCATGGTTCAAAGCAAGCTAATCACACAAGGCATCGACACCTAAGTCAAACAAGACTACACATTTTCCCTAGTGTGCAATGGTCATTACAAGAGAATCAATTCGATAAATGGCTAATCACAACGAGATGCAAAGAATTCACATATTGTCTATGCAACTTCTTTTGGCCTTGTCATAGCCATACATTCATGTCCGTTCAATTGAGAGCACTATTCAAGTCATCGGTATTGATCGAAATCGAGAATGAAATTTTTTTTGCAAAACAACAACCACATTCAACTCACGAGGGGTGGCAAAAATGTGCGAAATTTTTTGCGGAATGGTCAAAACCATTTTGCAATTAAACCCAATAGAGATCCATAAGCTCAAACAATCGCAAAAGCAGTTTTATACACAATTATAAACAGACAACCCAAATGTATACACAACACAAATATCTGAAACAAGCACACAAAAAGGTGAGCCTCACCGCACCACAAATAAGATCATTTGTCCTCAAATGCAAGTAATAGGAATCCAAAAGTAGAAAATATAATAAGACAGAGCAGGAGGTAGAGGTGATCCTGGATAATACGTCGCTTCA